ATGGCAATTCCTGAAAAAAAAAAAAAAAAAAAAAAGAGGTCAAAGACCAAAAATAAAAGATTATTCCAAAGTGTGAAAGGAAAGGAAATGGACTCAGGTTCTGTGTAGGCAAAGTTGGCCCTTATTTCCACTGGGTGCGAGTGAGCTGAGCTTCAGAAGGAAGTCAGCATGTGGGTTAAGGTGGATGGGGATTTTAAAGGGTCATAACAGTGACAGATGGCACATTTCTTCTTTCTTGGTTGGGACATTCCATTTGAGCGGGTCAATTCTATTTGGACAGGTCCCCCCATTTGACTCTGTCAAGTTTGATTTCTCCATGTTTTTGACTAGTTGGATAAGTCAATATTGCTTTTTAGTTTTCCCTCCTCTAATAATCACATATCTCTAGAACTTTCTGCCTTATGAATTCTAGGAATATTTAAAATTTGAAATTAATGTTAAAAGACCCTCTTTTAAAAATAAAAGTCATAAAATTATTTTCTGGCTTGACTGCAGTACCTTTTGTGGTTGATAAGTTTCTTAGAGCCTATAGAGTGTTTTCCTGGTTTGCCTATCTTTGATAGAAGTTTCTGATGTCCTATAGAACTATTTTAGGGGGATAGTGACTGGCTTACTAGCGGCTGGGAAAGAGAGGCTGCTACTTTGAAGCAAACTTGGGTAGTCGTTATGTTAATAAGTGTGATGCTGTGGTTTGAATGCATGTGTTGGAAACTTAATTACCATTATAACAATATTAAGAGGTGGGATCTTTATGAGGTGGTTAGGCCGTGAGGGCTCTGCCTTTGTGAATGGATTAATGCCATTACTGTAGGACTGTGTTTGTTATCACAGGAGTTAGCTCCCTCTAAAAGGAAAGGTCTGTCCCCCTCTTGCTCTGTGCTGTGCTCACCCCCTCTCTTTGCCCTTCTGCCAGAGGTTGACATAGCAAGAGGGCTCTCATTGGATGCCAGCTTGATCTTGAACTTCCCAGCCTCCAGAAACTTGAGCCAGTACATTTCTGTTCATTGTAAAGAACCTAGGCCTCAGTGTTCTGTTATAGCAGCACAAAACAGACTAAGACAGGTAGCATTTGATGGGGTGTAATTATAAAACCACTTCCTTTTTCCCCTGCTCCCTCTTCTCAGGGGCTAGTTTATTCTCTGCCCCTCAAGGAAACCTCAGGTTGAATAGATGAGGTTTTTCCAGACACTCTTATAAAAATTTAAAAGTCCTTCAGTCATTTTTAGTCCTAAAACAGTCTTAAATCTACAGCTGAAATGTCCAATCTCATATAGTAATCAAAACCTTAGAACTTTATTTCGGGAAATTATTTTTGCTTCTCTCCTTGCCCAGCCCAGGTTGATTCAGGCTGGTGAATCCTGGAGTGAGGAGAGGAAGGTCAGGGTCCCAGGACAGTAGAAGCTGGTAAAGCTGGTTTCTTTGTTTTCCCATCTACTGCTTCCCCTTATTCTCCTCCACTTGCTCTTAGGGTGTATATCCTACAGAGTTTGGGGTGGAGGTGGGAGGAGGAAAGAGGAAGAGCAGGAAAGGCCTTACTTTAGGTGTACTACAATACTTAGTGGTGGTGATCTGTAATCTTGGTGATCTTCAGCGTGGACTCCTCTCATGTGGGGTTCTAGAGATGGCACCACTGAACAAACACATGGGACTGTAACAGTTCCCATGATGGCCACTTACTCCACTGCCTCCTGCATTAATTAATTCTAGCCCCCTATTGCCTAGAGGCCTCTAGCAGGAAGCCCGCTTAGGTAGGGCCTCCTCCAAAACAACTTTCACATTTATTTTCTTTCTTCCCCCATCTGGTTTGCAGAAAATACACTCTCCATTTCTGTTTTTAGTAGTGCATACACTTCTCTCCATTCCACCAGCAGCCCTAGCCATAGCCTTTGCCTTTAGTCTTCTCCTACATGAGTCAAATGCCTGTCACTTAGGCCACCTCAATCCTAAGGGACACCATTTTCCAGCTGATCGTGGTAAGGAGGAGTTCACCATCTCCCGACCATACCTCAGAGTGAGGAGGTGGGGGAGGAAATGCCACAGTACCTCAAGTGTTTTTTCCAGAGTCCCTCTTAAGTTCTTCAACCTGAAACCATAAGGTATTGAGAGGCAATATTCATCTAAAGTTCACAGAACATTTGCTGGTCCTACATAGGTGGTATAGCACCCACCTTGAAGTAAGGGGGCTGGCCACACACTGTTTTTCCCTTTATTTCTGGGCTTTAGCCACATTCAAGACAGAGGGAGTCTATTTTAACATCATGGCATGCTTTCAAGCTCCACACTGCACCCATAAAGTTTGATTTTAAAGCCCTCAGAAGAGAAAGGAGCATCTCCATCTTTACTAAGCACTATTTTAGGCATGTAACTGTAGACTGCCTTCTTTTTTTCTTTCTGTCCTTATTAACAGTTTATTACAGTATATTTTTGTGAAGATTTCTCTTTTTCTTTTTTTAACCATTGAGAAATGAAATTGGGCAATTCACTGTGACTCTGAGTCAAAAAAAAATTTTTATATAGGGGCTCAAAAGAAGCCTGTTGTTTTTCTTGTTGAAAGCAGTTTAAGGAAATGCTTTCAGATCTGTGGGTGTTTTCTTTTTACATTGGAAACCGAAGTTGGGGAGATTTAAAACAAATTCAAGTTTTAAAAAATCACTTTCAGCTTCTCACATTGACATTTCAAAAACATGAGAGGACGACTGACTTTTTTTTTCCAGTGTATGGTCTAACTGGTGATATTGGGGGCGGGGGTGGGGTGGGGAGGGAGGCTGCCTGGCCGGATTGGATGAGGTCTCTGAAGCAGGTTGGAGCAGGGAAGGGTCATATGAGTAATCTGTAGTATTTGGGATAACTGGATTGGAGGCGGATCCAGTAGGACCATATTTTCTAGCATCAAAAGTGGCATCGGGATCTCAACCTCAATGATAATCTTATGTAGAGAAAAATGTATGTTTCAATAAAATGATGCGGGTTTTGATAGCCTAACACTTCCTATTATCTGATTCTGATTCCATAGGAGCTCTTTTACATGATTAAAACCATGCATCTGGCGGCTCTGAAAAGCCATCTTTGCATTGTTCCCGGGTCTGTCTTCTTCCTGGTCGCAACCACCTCCACCGTGCTCCTCCGCCGCCGCTGCTGCAGACTCTGGCAGTTTTATCGCTAGAGTCCCCGAACTCTCACTTTCTTTTCCATCCCCCGCATCGGATCACTGATGTGCCCCCACCTTGTCAGATGCAGCGGTGGACACCAGCTCCGAGATCACCACCAAGGACTTACAGGAGAAGGAAGTTGAGGACAAGGCAGAGAATGGAAGAGACGCCGCTGCTAATGGGAACGCAAATGAGGAAAATGAGGAACAGGAGGCTGACAGTGAGGGAGATGAAGAAGAGGAAGAAGGTGGGGAGGAAGAAGAGGAGGAGGAAGAAGGTTATGGCGAAGAAGAGGACGAAGATGAGGAAGCTGAGGCCACCACGGGCAAACGGGCAGCTGGAGATGATGATGTTGATATCAAGAAGCAGAAGACTGAGGAGGATGACTAGACAGCAAAAAAGGAAAAGTTAAACTTAAAAAAGAAAAGGCCACCGTGACCTATTCACCCTCCACTTCCCGTCTCAGAATCTAAACGCGGTCACCTTGGAGTAGAAAGGCCTGCCCGCCTGTCCACTGCAGGCAGTGCCACCCGCAGATGACATGCGCTCTTCACTACCCAGCTAAAACCACGAGAATTTGCAACAGGGGAGGAACAAAGACTCAAACCTTCCAAGGCCCTGCTTTTTCTCTTGAAAGTACTTTAAAAAGGAAATTTGTTTGTATTTTTTAATTTACATTTTTGTACATATTGTTTGGGGTCAGCCTTTTTTTTTTTTTCTTTTAGAGACAGAGTCTCACTTTATCACCCTATCACCCTCAGTAGAGTGCTGTGGCATCACAGCTCACAGCAACCTCCAGCTCTTGGACTTAGGCGACTCTCTTGCCTCAGCCTCCCGAGTAGCTGGTACTAACAGGCCCTCGCCATAACACCCCACTATTTTTCTGTTGTAGTTTGGTCGGGGCCGGTTTGAACCCGCCACCCTCAGTATATGGGACCAGCACCCTACCCACTTAGCCAAAGGAGCCACCCAGGGGTCAGCCATTTTTAATGATCTCAGATGACCGAACCATCCTTCAGAGCAGTCTTCTGAAGGTCAGTCCTACTTCTGACTCGGACTTTACTTGTGGTGCGACCATGTTCATTATAATCTCAAAGGAGAAAAAAAAAACCTTATTAAAAAAAAAAAAAAGCAAAGACAACAACACAAAAAACAATTTTATTCCAAGCATTCCAGTAACTTTTTTTATGTACTTATGGTACTTACAGTACTTAGCTGTACTGTAAGTAGTTGGTTTGTATGAGATAGTTAAAAAGGCCAAAGATAAAAGGTTTCTTTTTTTCTTTTTTTTTTTGCCTATGAAGTTACTGTTTATTTTTTATTTTTTGGCCTGTTTGATGTATGCGTGAAACAATGTTTCCAACAATAAAAGAGAATCTTATTTTGCTGAGTTGTTTTAACAACAACAACAAAAAAAGATAAAAACCATGCAAAACAGCATTCTCCCCTCTTCTCCCCTAAATAAAGTTTAGGCTCAGTTTATACATGTATCTCTGCTATTTTTCTAATTTTAATTTTTCTCTCTACTAATTTTGTGTTTTGGTTTTGGTTCAATTATAGTCAATAATCATTAGTGGCAGCAATGACTGAGAATTTGGTTTGATGGTCTGACCATTTGGTGATCTCTATTGTGAACTAAAATAAAATCTTAAGCCCCCCAGTAGACTGAATAGACCTTGGCCATGGGACCCCCAGAAATACTACTCTAAAACTGAGTTGCTGGCCATCAGAAGGGAGGTCAGACATGTCTCAACGCTCCCTCCACCCTTCTTGGTGATATCCTTCATAATTCATTAACAGCCTAAAGGCCATACAACCACATCTTCAGTTCATCAATTTACTTCAGTCTGTCACTCGCCCAACTGAGTTGTTTTGACTACCTAAGTCATCAATGTACTTAACAGATCATTTGAGTCTACGTCCTGCTTATGTCCAATGGCTTGTCTCTGATAAACAGACTTCCTCATTTTAATTCAAAATATTCCAAGCCTTAAGACAAAGCTCCATATCTTTAACCAATTATAAATCAAAGAATCTTTAAACCCACCTATGACTTATAAGACTTCCCCTTTTCTGATCAAACCAATGTATACTCTCCAGGTATTAACTTGGGGTCTTACATGTAGTTCCTGGGTATCACCTGTGGCTCAAGGAGTAGGGCGTCAGCCCCATATGCTGGAAGTAGTGGGTTCAAACCCAGCCTCGGCCAAAAACTGCAACCAAAAAAAAAGTCAGGGGCCTTACATGTAGTTCCTGTCTCCATGAATGTATAAAGTCAAACTGTAACCCAGCTACCACAAGCCCATTTTCTTGGGACCTTTTGAGGCCATGTGTGCTGGGACAATTACACACATTTGGCTCAGACTAAACCTGTTTAAATTATTTTGCAGAGTTTGAGGTGGTTTTTTTCCTTTCTTTTTTTTTTTTTCTGTTAATACATCAATGGTTTGGTGATTTACAGAGATCTATTTTCTGTTGTGTGAGAAATGGAGAATCTGGATTATTAGCTCTTTTTATTTGTCTGTTTTGAGTCCAGATCAATTAAGAATTTTAAGCAAGGCTAGGGGCCCATAGCTCAGTGGTTAGGGCATTGGCCACATGCTGATAGGTTCAAACCCAGCTCAGGCCTGCTAAACAAATAAACAAAAACAACAACAACAAAATAACTGGGTGTTGTGGCAGGCGCCTGTAGTCCCAGCTACTTGGGAGACTGAGACAAGAGAACTGCTTGAGCCCTTAAGGTTGCTGTGAGCACTCTACTGAGGGCGACAAAGTGAGACTCTGTCTCAATTTAAAAAAAAGAAAAATCTTGAGCAAACTGGGAAGTCTCATACCAAGACTGATGAGTTTCAAAATACTCTTAACCCACGACTACAATTTTAAATTGAAGCTATAAGCTCTTTATTTGTCTCCGTATGTCCATGTTTCTATAGTTTAGAAAAGTCTTTATTCTCATTGTGTGAGTATGTAAAATTTTCATTCCTCTATATGTGATTAATAAATTAGACTATAGTTGCTTGTTAAAGAAGGTCTTTTCTGATTAGATGATAGAGATAAATAAGCATTTATATAATAAGATTATTCCTAAAATTCCCAGGAAATAGTGGAACCGAACTTCTAATACTTTAAATGTGCTACCTTGAAGAGCTATTTTTGTCTCCTTCTTTAATATCCTTCATCACAGACCAAAAGACCTAAGTCCGTTTCTCAGTGCCCTTTCATATCCAAGTGGCTGCAATACAGCTGAACAGCTTTTCTGATACGATATCTTTTGCCAATTTAGTTAGAAACTGTGTTATATGAATAAAGCCTGTCTGTATACAGCTGAAAGTTTCCTAGTCCAGTTCTAAATAAAAATTCCTCCCCATCTTTGCAAAACACACTTCAAACTTGACAGGCCAGATCAAGCAGAGTAGTGATTTCCAATACAGTGTGAAGATCCAGTCTGTCAAGTGTGTGTCTGGTGTAAGACCATTCAACTTGACATCAAGAAGCAGTTTGGAGAGATTGTCTTCAAAGAATACTTCAAGGGTTGTAAAATATTTCAAAATCTTGCTATGATCCACACAGAAAAAGGCCAACTGGCACGGCTTATTTATGAGATTTTGGCAAATGCAAGGAAAGCATTTGCTGCTTTCAAATTCAGAATGATTGCTACCATAATGAAGGACATCCTGAGACCTAATGAACATAATCAGGCCTGCAGCATAAATATGCACCCAAGATACTATGTAAAACATTATGACATGGGCTGTCCTTCTGAAAAATATAGAGAGCTGGGACTACATGGGACTTGTCTGGCTTTATTCCACACTGGCATCTAGATCACCAACAGACATAGCTAGAGGTCAAACTTACCAAGAGTAAGGTAAACATGAGGGGGCAACTCTTATACTACAATTCATCTTTCTCTTAATACTCATTATTTTTCTGTTGGGTGGCATTTCACTGATCCAAATAGCCCTTGCACTTGGCAATGTTTTCTTCCTGCTTAAATTACCTTTTTTCTTTCTTTTTTCTTTATGGAATGCTTTAATTTCTCAATTTTGAAACTTAGTCACACTCTCACATTCTTGTTGGTGACCTCAAACTTCTTCCACTGATTTGGCAGGAAGATATCTGAGGAGTGGGCAAAGATTTCTTGAGTAGGACACAAAAGCAGTAATAGATCATATGGCCCCTCCTTAAGAATCAGAACAGTGGTAGAAAGTGGCTCAAATTCAAATGCTTTTTTTTTCTTTTTTTTTTTTATTTCAAATTAATATAAGGTTACAAATTTATAGGTTACTTTGTTCTCACTTCCAGGGTAAAGTTCCAGTTGCAAAAGAGCCCCTTACCCAGGGGGGTATGTTATATACCCTGATAATGTGCATACTAGGTAAAATCCCACTTCATGCCCTCCCTCCTTCTGCCAATCGTCCTCCCTCTTCCCTCTCCCCCCGCCACTGTACTAGAGACTATATTTTTTCATTGTTCATATGAGCATGTAATTGTTTATATATTGGTTTCATATTAGTATGGAGTACATTGGATATTTATGTCTTGAAGACTAAAGTGGTAGCTTAGAGCTCCTGCCTGTCTGTGCTTCATTTACCTCTTGAATAATTTTTTGTTTTCTAAAGATTCTCTCTTGGAGGACCTTTACCAAATAATTTCTAATCTAGGAGCACTAGGAATAGCTGATCTGAGTTCCTTTTGCACTTTTTGGAAAAGATTTCAGAAAACTAGGGACAGGAGGTGGGTGCTGTGGCAGTAGCTCACCTCCAGCAGAGTTGAGGGTTCACATTAGGGTGTGAGGAGCCATGCCTCCTTCCCCACCCTCTCCAGTCCTCTCTACCCAGGAGTGAGCCAACAGGCAGTGATTCTGCAGAGGACAGGCTGCCCCTGCTGCCCACCAGCTTCCTTTGTGGCCCAAGCACTAGAGGAGGGACTCCTAGCCTGCTGGGGGAAGCTCTAAGTAGTGTCTAACCAGGCACTTTAAGGAACTATGGTTGACGTTTTGGAGCCAAAGCTGGCAAAGTCCAAGTCAAACTAGCTCAGTATCTGGCTTACAGAGTCTGAAGGTCACTTCCATGGCCAGCCAAGATCCTTCGAATGTTTTGAAAACTTCAAGAAAAGAGGAATTTGCCCAAAATATCTAGGTACTGCAGATGAAAAATATATAGGTACTGCAGATGAAATCTTATGGAGAAAGTTCCTTCGCCTTGTTTTCCTAGCTTCAGAATAGTAAATTAATAGAGGCTTCTAGAAATCCAATCTGAGATTCCTTATAGAAACCACTAGCAAAACAAACCTGCTGCACCTGTATAAATAACCAGGCCAAATCTAATGCGTCCATACTCATTTTGTGATCAAAAATCTTTGAGATTCTTTTAAATCAAGAGTGGAAAGACTATAAGGAAAAATTTGTGCTTAAATGGAAAATTACACATTGTCATCCCAGAGCACACCTAGATTTTCTGATTCTGTAGGAGCTGTTTTAGAGCTCTGTAAATTATAGGTAACTGACAGCAATGCTAAATCATTCTTGCCCATAGATATGCAAATGAATTCTGTCCAGTGGAGAAGAAACCAGAAACACAAATGCTGGCTCT